GAAAGAAGTCATCTGACACCCTACCACTCAGTCTTTTTTGCCTTTTTTCATACTTGTTATAAACATAGTTGTTCCAATAGTATCTATTACCTTATATTCCATTTTTCTTTATGTAATCTTAATTTATTCTCTCTTCATCCCTTTACCCCTGTACTATTATAGGGAGTTTGTAACTTTCCATTTTATAACATATTTTTTCTATTACAAAAGTAATGTGTGCTCAATACAGCAAACTTGGAGAATACAGTAACCATAAAAGAAAGTAGATAGAAAACTACCCATATGCCCACCCTGCCAAGGAGACTGGTTTCTGTATTTTCCCACATCTGTGTACATAGCTTTATGTCTTGTAACCACCTTCCGTTACCTGGAAATACACTGAATATTTTCCCATGTTAATAAATACTCTTTTACAAAATGATGCTTAATGGTTGCAAGGTAATCCATTGTATAGATGTACCATAATTTATAAAAGCAGTCCCTTGTGTTGGATCTATATCTTAAAACCATAATGTTTAAAGCTATATAATAGTCAGTTGAATAGAAGTATCATCTTTTAATTTTTCATTTCCTCATTGTTGCATATTTATGTAATTTCTGATTTCTTACTGTCTTATTTTATTATTTTTTAACATCTTTATTGGAATATAATTGCTTTACAATGGTGTGTGAGTTTCTGCTGTATAGCAAAGTGAATCAGCTATATGTATACCTATATCCCCATATCCCCTCCCTCTTACGTCTCCCTCCCACCCTCCCTATCCCACCCCCTAGGTGGTCACAAAGCACCGAGCTGATCTCCCTGTGCTATGCAGCTGCTTCCCACTAGCTATCTGTTTTACATTTGGTAGTGTATATATGTCAGTGCCACTCTCTCTCTTCGTCCCAGCTTACCCTTCCCCTGCCCTGTGTCCTCAAGTCCGTTCTCTATGTCTGGTTTTATTGTCTTATTGTTTTAAATGATGGTATATTGAGCATCTTTATGCAGGCAGGGTTTTTTCATTTGTGTTTAGGATTATGTCCTTGAGATGGAATCCCCGAAACAATGGGCATTTTTAAGGGTCCTGGAAGATAGTGCTTAATTGCTTTATGAAATATTACTATTCTCGTTTATTTGCTATATTGTCACCAATGCTAGGCATTATCACTTTGAATATTTTTGCTAATTTGATATGTTTCTAAAAAGTAGTCCATTGTTTTCATTTGCATTCCTTTGATTTCTAGTGAGGTTAAATATTTTTCCATCTCTACTTGTCGCATTTCCTCTTTTGTGAGTCGAATCTTTACGGTTGGTGTATTTTTAATTTTTTCTTTCCCCCCTCAAAACCCTTTCCTGTGGTGTAGAAGAGAGAGAGCACCCAAGGAGAGCACATAGTAATGACGGCAGCAGAGCAAGTGAATCATTTCTACTGGCCCAATGGGGCGGAAGCTCGGCGGAGTCCCACCGCCAGGTCCCACCTCTGGCGACCACTGCCCTTTGTATAAAGTGCTTTAAATTCAACTATTCTTCCTGTCTGTTGTGACACTGGGCCTACAGTAATGGGCAAAACAGATGAAAATCTTCCGAAAGTTAAATTGCAGACCCAGTGAGGATAATTCCTCTGACTCAGAGCCCTCCCGTGTGTTAGTGCGCCCACTGCTATTTCCACTGTTTCCCTCACTTCCCAATCCTGCAGCTCACCTCCAAGATCTTTCTTCCAGTCCCCAATTAATTTCTTCACCATTTAAGTAATCCATGAATGCTTTTCCCTGTACTCTTGTACTACAAAAAAAGAGCAGTTTTATAGTATCTTTTCTTCTGTTCAGAGCTTTCATCTGGGAATGTTTCTCTGAAGATATATTCTGCGGATTTAGTGGTGTGCGAAACCATTATCAGCTATTATACTGACATGGAGGAAATTGGGAATTTATTGTCCAATGCTGCAAATCCTGTGGAGTTCATGTGTCAGGTAAGGATGGTGAAAGGACACTGGAGTTTTCTGGACCTGTAGTTTCTGGTCATGGTTCACCAGTCTCAAATCTACTGGATGGGAGATAGCTGGATTTAAAATCTGACCATCTTCACTTTTGTATTTAGGCCTTTAAAATTGTGCCCTACAACACAGAGACCCTTGATAAACTGCTAACAGAGTCCCTAAAGAACAACATCCCTGCAAGTGGGCTGCACCTCTTTGGAATCAACCAGCTGGAAGAAGAAGATATGATGACAAGTAAGTCAACAGTCAAACCTCAGGAAACCAGCAGTGGGTTGATTCCAGTTTGTCGGTTTCAGTGTGCAGTCAGCCCGCGCTTATGTTTTCTGCTGGGTTCTGCTCTACAGCTCATCCTCTGAGAAGCAGTCATTCTTCTCTGGCTAGCCTGGGATTCTTCCAAATTGTAAATCTGAATATGTCATCCCCTTACTAAAAACCCTTTGTGTTTCTCACTTGTCTTCTAGATCAAGTCCAAACTCCTCAACCTTTATACAAGGCCTTCCCAAGGGGCACCTGCTGCATTTCTGCTCTCACCTCTTTCTACTCTCTCCCTTGGCTTCTGTGCTCTGCTCTGTGGAAGGTATGAATTTCTTTTACCTAATGAAAATTCCGCCCTGCCTCTTGCCACCTCGACCCATGGGAACGCAGTTTCTTCCTCCCCTCATCCTGCAGCACTTCCTCAGGTAGGTTCCATCTACGTGCTGCAGCTCCCCTAGCATGTTGGGTTCTTGTACTCTTCAGCTGTGTCTGTCTTTTTTGCTAGTCTGTCAGCTGAATGATGACAGGGACAGTGCCTGGTGGCTCACTGTAGGCTCAAAACAAATATTTGTTTGATGAGGGAGGAGCAGTCTCATGGGCATATGTGACATGCCAGGAGCTGGGAGAAACACTTGCATGGGGATGATGCCTGGCGTGCCTGGTATGGTTCTTTTGTAGACACCACTCTCCCTTCACATCTCAGCTGCACTACACAAATGGGACCCAAGCCCCTGGTTACCCAGTGCCTATGTTCCATCTTTCCACAGCCTCCGAGAACCATAAGGATGAGGTTATATTACCTTCATGTCCTTCTCCTGGGTGCATTCTCTTGTTGCCTTTCTCCATTTTCCTACTGTGGAATGTTCTCACATCACTTCCAGCAGGTGTTAATATTCTCTATTCTTGAACTTGAGGCTCAGGAGGGAGTATTTCTATTTTTTTTTTTTTTTTCGGTACGCGGGCCTCTCACTGTTGTGTCCTCTCTCGTTGCGGAGCACAGGCTCTGGACGCGCAGGCTCAGCGGCCATGGCTCACGGGCCCAGCCGCTCCGCGGCATGTGGGATCTTCCCAGACGGGGCACGAACCCGTGTCCCCTGCATCGGCAGGCGGACTCTCAACCACTGCGCCACCTGGGAAGCCCAGGAGGGAGTATTTCATAGTTTGACAATCATGGGGGATCCTGGGGACATTTTCAGACCTTCATTCCAAGGATCATATCCTGGTGAATAGGAAGCTGGGTTTGTCTTATTAAAAAAAATACATATGGGGGCTTCCCTGGTGGCGCAGTAGTTGAGAGTCCACCTGCCGATGCAGGGGACATGGGTTCGTGACCCGGTCCGGGAAGATCCCACATGCTGCGGAGCAGCTGGGCCCGTGAGCCATGGCCGCTGAGCCTGCACGTCCGGAGCCTGTGCTCCGCAACGGGAGAGGACACAACAGTGAGAGGCCTGCGCACCGCGATGAAGAGTGGCCCCCGCTCGCCGCAACTAGAGAAAGCCCTCGCACAGAAACGAAGACCCAACACAACAATAAATAAATAAATAAATAAATAAAAAGCAGTTTCTTTAAAAAAAAATGTGTGTGTGTGTGTGTGTGTGTATATATATGCACATAAAGAATATATGTATATATACATCTATGTATCACTCTTGGGTTTAGAAATCAACTTTTATGAAAATTTTAAAAAAAGGTTTGTCTCCCAACTCCACAACACAAACATGTTTATTTCCTTGATTGAGTTTAACTTGCTGTATCCAGATATTAGTAGGTGGAGGGTGTCATGGGGATCCAGTGACTCTCAGAAATACTTTGTTTCCCACAAATCAGAGGGTTAATGGGCATCCTGGGGTTCCCACGCATTAATACCATCATTCAAAACCTGTCCTAAACAAAGAGCTCATTGAAAACCATCTTCTTAATCCTTCCAGGTCCCTTTGAGATAGTCTGGAAATAATTTCTAGTTCAAAACTAAGGGCCACAGAAAGGCTAAGGAACAGCCCCAGGATTACTTGGCATACTTTATGAAATTGGGTGTAAGAGCTAAGAAGATGGATTTTTTTTTTTTTGGCTGCGCCACATGGCTTGTGGGATCTTAGTTCCCTGACCAGGGATCAAACCCGTGCCCACGGCAGTGAAAACACTGAGTTCTAACCACTGGACCGCCAGGGAAGTCCCAGGATTTCTTTCTTTTAATCAGCGTAAAGCAATTGTTTTAAAGTGCTCTGAAATTTTAAGAGAAGGTCAAAACATGATCCCTGTTGTACTTTGTGGCTGCTGCTTAAGCCCTTAGAACATCAGCACATTTTGAACTAGTATTATTTCTCAGGATTCTCCAATCTTTTTAAAGAAAGAAGGTAGGATATTAAAGATTAGATTTGCTAACTGACATATCATTTCTTCTGTCATCTTCAGTGGTGCCACAGAGGAAGCTGTTAGATCAATCAACCAAGAAGTAATGATTGAGCACCTGCTGGATGCCATACTAGGCTTCTAGCTTCATCTCCATGAGCAAGGTGCCCCGTGGCTTCCTTTTTTTTTTTTTTTTTTTTTTCAATCTTTTGGCTGTGCCATGCAGCAAGTGGGTTCTTAGTTCCCTGACCAGGGATTGAACCCGCGACCCCTGCAGTGGAAGTGCAGAGTCTTAACCACTGGACCTCCAGGGAAGTCCCCCTACCACCCCATGCCTTCCTTTTTATCTGACCATTAAGTTTTCCTTGACAATTTTTCAGATCAGAGGGATGAAGAGCTGCCCACTTTGTTGCACTTTGCTGCCAAGTATGGACTGAAGAACCTCACTGCCCTGTTGCTCACCTGCCCAGGAGCCCTACAGGCCTATAGTGTGGCCAACAAGCACGGCCACTACCCCAACACCATTGCTGAGAAGCACGGCTTCCGGGACCTGCGGCAGTTCATCGACGAGTATGTGGTAAGGTCACAGCAGGAGAGGCTCTAGGATTGGAAATGCACCATGTGGTCCCAGGACTGCCTTTTCACTAAAGACCTGGGTGGATTTCATCTCTAGCATGTTCTCACGTGCCTCTTCTGGCAGGGCCAGTATGCGTGGGCTTAAGAGATGAGTTCTGGAGTCACATGGATCTGGATCCAAATTCCTCACCAATACTTGTCAGCCATGTGCCTTTGGGCAAATCATGTATCTGTCCTCCGTCTCTCTCAGTTTTGTGATACGTGGGAGAAAGTTTATAATAATTCTACCCTTAGGGTTGTTTTGAGAATAAGAAGAAATAATATATGTAAAGCACTGAGATCCGCCCTTGAAGACTTTATGGAGCATTGATAGAGTGAATCTGCTGAAAGTAGATGCTGATCCGTCTTTCTCAGTCACCTCCCCACCCACCTCCAAGGTACTTGGCAGGATGCTCCCAGCTCCCATGCCCACCGTCAGGCCCAGGTGAACTGTTAGGCTTGGTTCCTTCCTTAGCGGAGACCACAGTAAAGCTCTGCACCTGAGGCTTCAGGGAGGCCAACCGTGAGGCCCCACCTTCTGCTGACAACCTCTCTCTCTTTCTGAGCCTCTGCCCGTCTTAAGGTTTATCTGCTTCCCTGGTTTTGGACCCACAGATCCTCCTTGATCACTGACTTTTATGGGTCTTTCTTTAAGTGTAATCTCATCCCATGCCTAGGCCTTGTTCTATGTCCCAATATTGCTTCCATTGTTTTGGAGGCAGCTGCCGTTCCTGTCTCGACCCTTTTCTGGTTTTCCTCCATTTTCACAGTTCACAGCGGGAATAGCTCATCCTCTCACATGGGGCTGTGACCTCAAAAGGAACAATTAACACTGCCTCCAGACAGGAGTGAGCCTGACACCTCCCTAGAAACTTAGCTTTCTGCTCTGTGCTTGACAATCTACAAGGCAACGACTCACTGAGACATACAGAGGAGGCCTCCCAAAATTTGGGGGGTGATTAAATGTATTGAATAAACAGAATAGCATGAGTGCCTGTTTGGGGCATCATTGACATAAATGAGGCTAAAAGGTACTTATAGTCCAGGAGTGTTTACTTCACTTTACTTTGGAGTCACAAATGTATAAAATGCAGTGTTTCATTTCCCCGCCAATAGTTTTTACTAAGAACATACTGTATTCATATTAATCACTACTATCTATTGAATTTAGTTGATTGGCAAAAGCATTTTCTCCTTTAATCCTCACCACAATCCTTTGAGGTTGACAGTATTGTTCTCTCTCTTCAACAAAGGAGGAAAAGGGCCTAGAAACGCCAAGTCATTGTGCCAAGGGGCCCACACTAGTCAGGGTGGAGGTAGGATTTGAACCTAGCTGATGGTAAAGCTGGGGAGCATTCTCCCACTTTCTGTCACAGGGACGTGGAAAGATGCACTTCCAGTTTGCACTGAAGTTAATCTGGTTCACATTTGTCACATCATCTTTGTTTTCTAACTACAATCACTTCAACCGATGCATCTCCAGCATTGCCCCCAAAAGCTTGCTCCTCTGTGTTGTTCATGACCTCTAAGAACCGTCCCATTTCCTCTTTCCACCATATCAGAACCAAATGCCAGACCTTGAGTCTCCAGCGCTCCACTCCTTGGGGCTCATCAGGAAACCAACACAGAGTGTCAGATAGCAGATTAGCTCTCTTGGGGTAGTGATGATGAAAATGAGAATTTTTGTGGGTTGATGCTGAAATGATTGTGAAACACCAAAGTTTCTTACGAGGAAAAGTTGTGCAGGGGTTTCAGAGAAGCCACCTCTCTGGCTTCACAACCACCTGGAGGCAGAATGACAAAGGGGGCCTCTCTGACTTCAGGGCATTTCACCCAAGACCGTCTCTCCTCTTGGGCACAGGATGTAAAACTGAGGCGGGCACTTTGGAGCGGTGTGCTGTCAGGCACTTTGAAGCAGCCTAATAGAAGGAATGGGTGGAAGGAGCAGGAAGGAACTAGTGGATCAAGTCCCCAAGGGACTTCTGACTACACACAAGCGCAAGAGCACCTTGGCTGCAGCCCTGTTTAGCCCATTTGAATTTCCATTTGACTAATCAGCAAGGGTTATACCTTTGTGTGCCATTTGTTGCCATTTGAGGAACCACTAGTTTATAGTAGAAAGGTCAGAAGCCAAGATTGCAGACCCATGAATACGGCACTAGATTTTTCTGAGCTTTGGTTTTCACATCTTTTGACCAGGGAATAGGAGACACTCTCAAACAGTGGTGGAAAGGATGCCATGAGATAATGTATAGGCACATCCATAGCACTGTCCCTGACACGTAATAGGTACCCACGAGAAAGTTTTAAATTTGTATCCTCTGGGCACTGGACATTTAATGGGTGTCTCCTCTGAGTGCGTAACTCTGTTCTTAGTGTTGGAGGAAGATACAAAGATTAAAACAAAGAACATGAAGCAAAGAAAAAGACTTGGAGCCTGGCCTCAGGGGCCTTTCAGTGTGGTGGGAAATACAGACATGCGCATGTAGTTGCAACCCTCATGCGTGTGAGGCTTTACTTTGCTGTCACAAGCCCACTCGAGGGCCTGACTCTACCCAGAGAGCCCGGCTGTGTCAGTGCGCCTGTGGGGTCCCACCTTCTCTTTCAGGAAACTGTGGACATGCTGAAGAGTCACATTAAAGAGGAACTGATGCAAGGGGAGGAGGCTGACTCTGTGTATGAGTCCATGGCCCACCTTTCCACAGACCTGCTCATGAAGTGCTCCCTCAACCCCGGCTGTGACGAGGAGCTGTATGAGTCCATGGCGGCCTTTGTCCCAGCTGCCACCGAGGACCTCTGTAAGTAGCACAGTGCAGTTCTGCTTCCATCTTTCTGCTGAGAAACGCGTTTCTTCCTTCTGCTGTGTGTGGGGAAATTCCCTTGCTTACCCCCTGCCCCACTCCGGAGTGATGAAGATCCCATTTTACACAAAGTTAGACAGGTCATCATGTGCTGTGACAAGCAGAATCGTTCTCCAAACTTCCTCTGCTATGACTGCTGTGTGACTGGAAAGTTTAAGCAAGGGCCTGGAAGTCAGAGTCGATGAAGGCATTGCCTTGTGATCCAGAAGCGAAATCAGTGGCTTTTGACTTTGTCAGTTCCAACGGGCCCTTTTTATAGCAAACATTTTGTAATGCCCCCGCTACTACCCTGACATGAGATACATATAATATAACCTACCTACATATGAAATTTTTAGAAATCAAATATAAGTCCCAATTGAAATATAGAAGAGAACTCATAGGAGAGGAAATGCTCAGATGTGCCTCCATGCAAGGACATAGTGCATTAGTCAGTTGCAGTCACCTACACTCAGAATCACTGCCAGTGTCACAGCCTCAAGTGCTGACCGACATGTTTATTGTATCAGTGACTTGGATGCCGCCAGCAGCGCTGGCATCAATGCCTGGATTTTCCTAAATGGTGAATGATTCCTCACATTCTCTTCTCCATTTTCATAGTAATTGAATTCCTGGAAAATTTGGTGTATATCAAAACCATGCAAAAATACAAGTTGTATTTTATAAATGAAGCCGTTTAGCTTCTAGGCTCAGAAAATTATAAGCAGGGTTTTTTTGATAACCTGATTTTACTGGATTAATATATAATAAACTTATTTCCAAAATATCGTATCTCCAGGATATGATTTTTTTTGTAAATTGCTTAACAAATTTTGCCCATTTTTGTTTATCTTAATTCTTTATAATAGCAAAAATAATACATTCTTCCAAAAATTGGAAACAAAAAAGAAATGTATAACCGAGTTATTAAAAGTTCATAACTCCACTCAGCCAACCGATATAGCACTTGTAATAGTTTGGTGGGGATTTTTGCCCATACTTTTCCTTATACCTGCTGTATTAAATTTAAAAATATACACATATACATATAAACAGATATGTACAAATATACACATATGTATAAATATGTATCATAAGCAGTTATTTTTTTAACCCATATGTGTATCTAGTGAAATATTTAAAAGTCATGAGGGACACAAAACAAGGCTGTCCCCCACACTGAAGGTTGTCTAGCATTTTTCTTCCTTCTGCTAAATGCCAGTAGTGTCCCTGCATCATGGTGACAACCCAAAATACCCTCATAGATTTTCCAAACACCCTCTAGAGGGCAGCACCACTCCCCTTGAGAACCACTGGTCTAAATAAACATTGGCTTTCGATGCACATATCAGGGTTGAAGCAGGAGGACCACACAACTGGCCCTCTAAGGGCCTTCTTTATATGTTACCACCATTTGCTACGAGATGCTAAGAGCTCTGAAACACTGCCTACACTTCTCCCTCCTTCCCTCTGGTCTGATTAATAGATTCAAGACAAGACAAGACAAATAACCTATCAATGCATCCATCAGCTTTATTGATAGAGGAATTTCTGGAATGGCCTAGGTTGAGTATTGCCAATTTTCAGCCCCAGGAGAAGACCGCGGGGACCTGGGCCGACAAGGTGTTGGGCCTGATTTTCCCATCCATGAACGGAAAAGCAGGCATTAAGAGGGTGCTTTGGAGCAGGAAATGTGGGCGGGTCAGGGGGCCAGAGGTGAACCCTGACACCAGCAGAGCCTTTGACACTGCAACCCTAACACCTGGAAGATGTGGTCCAGTGGTTGTTAGGTGCTTGGTAGTCAGACTGGCTGTGCCTCTGGGGGAGGAGAAGAAAGAGGGAAAGAAAGGTAGCAGCTCGCTCTCAGCACCTAACTGGAAGGACTTAAAGTACTTATGAAAACTCTTCCCGAATGAGCCGTAACCCAGCAAGAAGGTGAGGAGAGAAGGCTTCATCCTCACCACCCACATCCTCTACCTCACTGAATCCTCAAAGCAACCATACAGGGGTGCTCTTATTAACCTGCGCTTTACAAATGAGGAAACTGAGGCACAGAGAGGTTAAGCAACTCCACCAGAGTCTCACAGCTAATAAGTGATAGAGTCCAGGTTTGAACCCAGGTCTCTCTGTCTTTAGGACCATATTCCTTATTCTGTGCCGGAAGTTTCCATCTAACACGACAAATTTTAGTCGTGGTTTCTTTTAGAAAAACCATCTAGCAGCTCCAGCCACGCCTCCTCTTTGTGCGGCCCAGATGTTAGCTCACAAAACAGCCTCTGGCGCCCCCTACCCTTGCACATCGATCCATCTCTCCATGTACCCAACAAGCATTCTGGAGCATCTGTGTTTCTGCCACTTGCTGCTCCCACTCCTGGTTTTTGGTGAGACAACGGGGTGGAGGGAAGATACAGTCCTTTTCAGTCTGGAACAGAGACTCATTCACAAAAGAACATTTGGAGAAAAACTAGTACCACTCTGGGAAGCCAGAGACCATGCATCATCATTTCTGCCCTGTGTCCCTACGGTGGGGCAGTTGAACAGTTGAAGGATCCTGCACTTTACTGGCAGTTGGTTTAGTGTTGACAGAGAGCCTTAACACCTCTTATCCCTCTGGATGCTCCAACACAGGAAATCCCCCCTCCACAGCAGTGCAAAGCTGTACGGAATGCTAGCAGCAGCCATCCCATTACTCCTGTCTGCTGGGCCTCTCACAGCGTGAGCCGCTGAGCCTCTTCAGCACTTACCAAGGCGGTGGAGTGCTATGGAGCTTGCCTGGTTTGCGGCCAGTTGGCATCTTGTAAAGTTCCAGGGGGTGGGGCGGGGGGTGGGGAATTCTGGTTGCCGTGGAGCTAGAAGGAGGCCACCAACAGGCAGGCTGTAGAATTCCGCTGTTTGGGGAATGGGCAGAGGAAACCCACTGCAGTTTTCACTTGCCAGATCATATAAACTCTGAATTTTCTGAATCTAGATATGATTTGTGTTTCTGTCTCTGTGGTTTAATCTTGAGACTGACCACTTACTACTGGCCCAGAAGCAGCAGCAACTTGTACCTGGGGAGGAACCATTCATCTTACTACAAGTGACTCTCTAGGGGAGAAGGCAGTTTAGGTCATAAATAAGTAGGACAGACTGATAAATCTAAGACGCATATTTGTAACACCAGCCAGCACAGTAGTCTTCTGGCCCTTTCAAGTCAACACACTGCTTTCCTATCTGTGATCTCATCTGAGCGTCCTGGGGCTTGGTGGATAAAGTTATCTTCATTTTATAGAGGAGACCGCTAGGGCTCCAAGATTTAGTAACTTACGAGTCTAATCGAGGGAGAACTAGGTCAGGAATCTGGGTCTGCATATTCCCAGGGGTCAAGTCTGTCAGCTGCCCACTGAGCTAGAGGACCCTCCTGGCCTGCCCTTCTTCTAGGGTCAGAACTTGCCATCCCTGGGACGGATACTTACAGGGGAGCTATTTCCTAAATCTAAATAGCGGAGGTTATCAGTCCTCCACCTTTGTTACCATTCAACCCTAGAGGCTGAAAATAGGAAGGAAACTAGGCCGTGTTTATTCACTAGCTGACTCACTCCCTCACTCATTCATTCATTCACTCACAGGACAGACATTATGGAAGGCAGGCTCTATGCCATCTCCTTACCACAGCTTTGGAGGTCATCTGATTGTGTTGGGACAAATCTGCCTCTTTCTGACTTGAGTTTTGGAAAGGGGATAGTAATGAGGTCCCCAAAGGGAATCCAAACAAGCACTAAGTAGGAAGATTGTCAGGGAAACTCCCAGTGTTGAATGAATTGGCTGGGCAGCAATGTTGGGTTCTGATTCTGAGATTTTATGATCCTTCCCCTGAACTTGCGTGCGTGGGTGCGTGTGGCGCGTGCACTCCAAACAAGCACTAAGTAGGAAGATTGTCAGGGAAACTCCCAGTGTTGAATGAATTGGCTGGGCAGCAATGTTGGGTTCTGATTCTGAGATTTTATGATCCTTCCCCTGAACTTGCGTGCGTGGGTGCGTGTGCACATGCGCGTGCACGCACACGCGCGCGCGCACACACACACACACACACACAGGCACACACACACTCCTCATACTGTCTTTAGTTTAGATATGCTGCCACCAGGTGGTAACTACATCTTTGTTATCAGACTTTCAACTTTGCTCTCAATTCTCTTGAGAATTTTGTGTTCAAACGCCCACAGATTTAAACCATCATTTTCCGCACCGTACTATGTAAGAAATAAATGTTCTTAGGGTAAGCTTCTGCAAACACTAACTAAAAATCACAGCACACCTCTCTTTGGGTGTCTTCACTGTCTCCTGATTTTTTTCTCACTTACTTCGTTTGCTTCTAACCCTGCCTTCAGAGAATGATACGGTGGTCCTGGTGGTCCTTTGACTTAGGTAATACATTTTGTGTGGAAAGCCTCACCCAGTGACTGGGCACTTTGATAAGGCTCTGGGTACTAAGGCCTCAGGAGCCATTTCTGGGAGGCCCTTGTCCAGCTGTTTCAAAGGTAATCCGCTTGTGGATTTAGTGCTTCTTGACTATCTCAAAGGTCTGTCTTTCTGCATCAGGAGAGAGGAGTAAAAGGAGAAAGATGTAATGTCTCGCTACTAGAGACTAAACTCACACGTGTCACCCTAATCCATCCCAGAGGGCTGTTCTGCTTCTTGTGACTCTTGCATTGAACGTTTCTTTTGCGCCCCTGCTCCTTCCACCTGCGTCTGTGGCTCAAGTTTGTGTGCAGTGGAGAGCCAGCTTAGCCCCAGCTAATTTGCTGACTTCCCTTAGCAACCTCCTTGGTAACTGCCATCTTTGTAACATCATCTCCAGCAGTGTTTTCTTTACTGGAGCTCTCTGGTTACAGTCTCTGTGAGCAGGGTCCCCTCTGAGCTGGGGGCATAACTGGGCCCAGTGAACAGCCTCATAGCCCAGCCATGTAAGGTCTGAG